CTGCTTTTTATTGTGGCAAATGAATCTGGTAAGTGTCCCCCTGGATATCTTCTCAGACACACATGTAAATTTCTATGCTCTACCAAAGAATGACCAGCATGCTTTCTGAGTTGTACACTCTCTGCAATCCTTCCAGGATGTACAAGGGACTCACATTATCACCTCCTCAACATCACTTGATATTTAGACTCATTTTTGTTAACTTGGTTAGAATGAGGAGGGTTCTCCCTGAATTTTGGAGTTGTTTGTCCCTGGGAAGCAAGAACATGTTGTCCTCTGCAAGACAGGGCTTAGGATCTTTGATGTATCCATGCACTCTTGAGGCCAGACAGGAGAGAGAAGATGGGCTATTTCTTCTAGCAAGTTCTGGCAATGGAGGTCTTTAGTAACTCTGAAATAGCACTGGGGGAGTTTGCACTTGAGGATCCATTGCATGTATCTATCATCGAATACTGCCAGATACTGGGTAAAAAATAATCAGGGCTCTTTCCTGTGATTCATGCACTACTCCGACATCACTGGCTTTATATAACTCCAGTAAAAACTCCAACTCTTTAAGCAATAATTCTGAGCAGTACTTTTTCTTGGCTTCAGAATGTGAACATCAGAGCCAGGCACAGAGGTGGATGCTCTTCAGACCTTGGGGAAAGTTTCCTTATGGGTGACTGGGCTGAATGTTCTGTGACAGGAGAATGGACATTATTTCTCCCACGTCATATGGCTGTGGCTGCCTGTGTGCCAGGGTTCCTTACAACAGATCAGGGCACAGACATGCACGCAAGGGTGACCATGTGTATTAGTTATGGTTTCTATTGCTGTGATAAGACACCCAAAGCAACTTTGGGAGGAAAGAGTTTATTTGGCTTTTCACACTTCTGCATCACAGTTCATCACTGAAGGAAGTCAAGGCAGGAACCTGAAGTCAGGACCCTGGAGGCAGGCACTGAAGCAGAAGACACGGAGTAGCGCTGCTTACTGTCTTGATCCCAATGGCTTTCTCAGCCTTCTTGTACAAGATCATCTGACCAAGAGTGACACCAGCCACTGCAGCATGGGCCCTCCCACATCAGTCATTAATCAAGAGAGTGCCCCACAGACTTGCCTACAGCCCAATCTGCTGAAGGTATTTTCTCAGTTACCATTTCCTCTTCCCAGACATGTGTTGGGTTGTGTCAAGCGGACAAAACCCAACCAGAACACCAGGTAAGCACCCAGGAAGAAGTCACTGTGTCCAAGATATGGAAAGAGGCCCCAGATGGAACCAGTCACTAACACCTTGATCTTGGATGTCCAGTTACAGAAATCAGTTTTCTGTTGCGTCAGCTGGTCAGTTGCGGTATGCTGTTCCACCAGCCTTGACTCATGACTACCCATGTACTCTGGGGAAAGAGGGCTGGTGAACTCAGAGAAGACACTGGGCAGAGCAGAGGACTGAGAGGTGAGAGCGGAGGGAGAGGGCCAGAACTCACCACCCGTATTTCTTTCCCCATTCCTTCCTCCTCTTCTCTGGTTCATGTGGTGGGAACACATCTAATTAAACACCGATCTTCTGTAGTATACATCTCTACTCACCTAGAAAGTAAACAAATGTGATTTACGTGGCTGCTAAGGATGGTATATGAAACATCCTGTGCAGGTTCAGGTTTGAACACTGAACTGCTGCTAACAGTGGTGTTTGGGAAGGTTCTAGAACTTTCAGGAGGTGGGGCCTGGGTGGAAGAAGTCATCACTGAAGGACAGGCTTTGAAGGCTCATTCCCACTTCATGCTGACTGCTACCTACCTGATCTTCCAAGAAGTGTGAAAACAGCCTCCGAGGTCTTACTGGCAAACCACATTCTCTAAGCGGCAAGGCTTCCCCGCCATGATGGAGGAGATTCTCCAGCTGTGAGCCAGCGCAGACCATCCTTCTCTTAACTTGCTTCTTGTCTGGTGTTCAGTCACAACAATAAGAAAAGTAACCAACACACTGACTTCCGGCTCACCCGAGTCAGCATGTGAGTTGGCTCAGCGTGGGTCAGGAGCTATGCTGAACAAGACACTGTAGGAGGAGATGCTAAGAGAGACTGTGGTGGATGATCCTGCGCTGGGGTCTTTCCTCTCTCAATTCCTGGTGGACTTCGCCATCCTTAGTGGAGTGTTGAGAGCTGGGCCTTTATGATGTCACTGAGGAGGACGAAGGCCTTTCTGGCTTTACTCATCCCTAAGAGCAGGGTGTCAGGAAGTAGGCTGGCTCCTGGTGTTGATTCCAAGTGCCTGCTTACCCCTGTTCATTTACTGCAATGTGAAACCCTCACCAGGGGCCAAGCAAATGCAAGACCACTCTTGGATTTCCCAGATCCAGAACTGTGAACCAAATGAACCACCGTCTCTGTAATAAATTACCCATTCTTACCATTCTGTTATAGTAACAAAAAAAAAAAAGAAAAGAAAAGAAAAGAAAAAAGAAAGAAAGCACGGTGATACCATGGGGGTGGATTTGGGGAGGTCCTGTTTGGAGCATCAGAGGCAGCCACATGACAAGGGAGGCTGCTGAACATGTTGAAATACCTGCTGCAAGTGGGTGAGTGTTCCCTGGAGGACAGGTTGTGAGCTGAGGACTAGAGGAATCTTGGGGCTGCTTGTGAACAGTCCTGGGACGGGGTGTGGGTTGTACATCAGGCTGGGGACAGCAGCATAGACAGAGATGGACAGAACTGTCCCAGAGCTTCCCTGGTACATCCTGGGCATTACTCTGGTTCTCAGAGGACACCCTGAAGGACACTTAGTAGTAATGTGACAGGCTCAGCAGCAGTCTCAGTTCAGCCCCTGGATTTTCAGCTTATGAATCAAGCAGGGTGCTGGTTATAAACACGGATTTATAGTCACACAAGACCCGCTAAATCACACTTCCTGGTGTGGGAGCCAAGAACCGCATTCTTCTCAAGCTCTCTGAGTAATTCAGAGGCCACCAGAGATTAAGAGCCATTGATCCGGTGTTGGCAGTCAAGGGCTCTTCCTCTCCTCTCTCTTTTCTTCCTCTCTTGCTTTTTCTCTTTGGTTCAGTTATTTTACAAGGCAGGGTTGTATTCGAGTCACATTCTGTACGAGGAACTACACCGAGTGTATGTGTACGTGTGTGTGTTGGGTGTGAAATTTATGTGCATGGTGTATATCTGCATGTCTGTTCGTGCATGTCTGTGACCATTTCTTGCAATGCACTAGAACATGTATGCTATATAAAACCTAGTCTACTTCATTAGGGGACCAAAGCTCAGACAGAGCAAGTCAGGGTTTCTGCAAGGCTGATGTGGGGCACTCAGGCTAAAATCGGACATATGTGCTGCCATCGTTAGGGTTTTTATTGCTGTGAAGAGACACTGTGACCATGGCAACTCTTATAAGAAAACATTTAATTTGGGGTGGCTCACTTACAGTTTCAGAGGTTCAGTCCATTATCATCATGACAGGGAGCGTGGCAGTGTTCAGGCAGATGCGGTGCTGGAGCTGAGATTGCTACATCTTGCAGGCAACACAAAGTTCACTGTCACACTGAGGAAAACTTGAGCAAAAGAGACCTCAAAGCCCGCCCCCACAGTGACACACTTCCACCAGCAAGGCCACACCTCCTAATAGTGACACTCCCTTTGGGGGCCATTTTCTCTCAAACCACCACACACACCATACATCAAAGCCTTGTTCTGCCTTCTGTCTGCTGAAAGGGTGACGTAGAAACTGTCATTTGGGGAGGAGCTCAGGTAAAGGTAGAAATCAGACTCTGCCTCTGACTGTTGGGGAAATGGGACCCTCAGTAGCCCTCTGGTAGGGGAGGGGCTCACGTGAGAACTCTTTAGGATGCAGAGTACCTCATGTCACAGGGTGACTTTCAGGTTGCTCAGCAGGTCATTTTTCTAATGTTACTTCTTCACATATACATGACGTACATGCCATCACCATGTGTTCCATCCAGGGCCTGTATCTAAAGGGGATCCGGGCTGGTGAGACGGCTCTGCAGGCCAGGGTGCTTGCCACCCAGTCTGATGATCTGAGAGCCATCCCTGGGACCTAATGGAAGGAGGAAACAAGCTGCTTCCGTTGTCCTCTCACTGCCACACCTGTGCCATGGTACATGCATACACACAATGCACACATGTATACCTGCACATGCTCACACCATGCTCATGCGCGCGTGCGCGCACACACACACACACACACACACACACACACACACACACACACACAGAGTTTTAAAAAGCTTAGGGGAAGCAATAAAAGCACCGTGACTGTATAAGGCGTGCAGTGATGCTGAGGCGACATTCAGATGATGAGGGACGGGAGCACAGATGTGGGTGAGGATGCTGTAAGGAACGGTGCTGCACTCTGCCGACCAACTCCCTCTCACCCTTTGAGGGTTGTGTCACCTTTAACAGAACCACAGGGCTCTCTTGTTTGGCTCCCTGCTCCTCTGATTTGGTGTTGACTCTGCCCCGTACATCACTCAGGCCATCTCCACCGCTTGCTCAATCAAGATTACAAATGGGAAGGGAAGGGGGCTGCATCCACTCTGTTTAACCGCTGTGTGCTTTCTCAGGCATCTCTGCAGCCTTTGATACTGGATACAAAAATGCCTCGGGGACTCCGAAGCTCTGCACACACGTAAATAGTTCTTACCCTTCTCACTTTGACCTACGCTGGCTGTCTGTAAACACCCAGAGACATTGTCAGGCGCTGTGGATATCAAAGCCATTTTCCTTTCTCCACACAAAGAGTCACTTAGCCACACCAGCGTGCCCAGACTCCATTCTGTCAAGACACCCCAGAAAGAGTTCTTGGGGCAGACTTCAGGGTCTGCATGAAAACATGTCCCCAATAAGGAGACATTAAGTCCAAAAGTGGACATTGAAACCAATACTCCTTCACAGGGCTTTTTGACGACAATAGCAAGTGACCAGAAGTGCTTTCCCACCCTGTGGCGCCGTGACTGTAGTGAGGAGACTTTTGTCAGTCGGTTTTACTCCCACGGAGGGAGTTTAAGTTCTTTGAAGAAACAGAAGACAGCACACTGGAAGTGTGTAATCTAGAGCTAGGGATCCTGGGAAGTGGGAAGGACCTGCCTCTTAAGGTGTCACACTTTGGGAATTGCTCACCAAAGAGAACACAGCAGACTGAAGGGGACCCACCAGGTGGCAGTGTCCAGGTGGGACAGTGGGCTGGTATGCCATGAAGGAGGAGGTGACACCGGCCGATGGTGGTGCTGAGTTGGTACCTTAAGAGAAGCAGATGTGGGGGTCACATAAGGCTGTGATTTTTGTACCTGCTGCACGGCAGTGGTAAGCCTGAGGAGAGGGAGGTTTGGGGATTATGTGCATGATGGGAAAGAGGGGTGCCCACAGGTGAGTTTACTGCCTTCCAGGTGATGTTTGATAGTGTTTTGACATCTGAGAAAAGATATGCAGGCCCCAGCTCTGTCATTATATTTACAGTCAGAAATACCCTTGGGGACAGGTGTGGCAGGCAGACATTGCCGAGGAGGATGCCTGCCGTCTCTCTCGTTGCATGTTTACCAGCAGCTCCACTTGGTCCAGAATTTGTGTGAATGAGAGCCAAGAGGAGAATGACACGTGCAGCAGGTCTTTTTTGGGACTGCTAGCTCCAAAATAATGGCACAGAGACTTATTATTAATTATGAAAGCTTGAACTTAGCTTAGGCTTGTTCCCAACTAGCTCCTATAACGTAAATCAACCCGTTTATATTAATCTACATTCTGCCATGTGACCATTACCTCCCCTCAATACCATACATCTGAATTCCTCTGGATCACACTGGTAAATCTCTAGCACCAGATTCTTTCCCAGAGTTCCTATCCCTGCTCAGAAGTCCCGTCTAACCTCTCCTGCCTAGCTATTGGCCATTCAGCTCTTTATTAAACCAATCAGAAGTTGCCTTAGGTAGACAAGGAAGGACAGAGACACATCTTCACATAGTGTCATCAAACATCCCATATCAGACCTGATCTGGTCTGTGCTTCCTAAGACTCCCTCTGACTGCTGGGGAATGAGTGGGATGGAGAGGGAGTGCCAGAGGAAATGGGCACCGGATATGACACTATCTGGATTGACCACCATTCAGGTGATTTTGGACTCTTTGTAGTGTGTGTTCAGTGGAGTTATTAGAGTCTATTGAATGATTTTAAGCAGGATGTGAAAGAAGTAGAAACCAAAAATAATTCTTAGGTGTTTTATTTGAACTGTGAAGACTATAGTGTTGAAGGTTCAGATAGTGGAATCCTGAGTGGAATATGTGCCATGTTTGAGAAACCCATTAGATGTCCACATGGAAACACTGGGGAGGGAATAAAATCCTGGATCTGTGTGGCTGGGCATGAGGGTTATAGTCCTTGGGGAGTCCTGGACCAGGGGAGGGACATCAGAAAAAGGAGCTGGGGTTTTAACGTCATGGCATACAGCTGCTGCTTTGAAACCATCTCTCAGGGTAGAGATAAAGATGGAGGTCTCCTTCCTGAGTCTACATTCTATGTGTATTCTGAAGCAACAACTGTCAGAATTCCTGGCCATTCCCCCAGCTACATGACCACTCATGCACTGGCAAAATGATTAGTCATCCCAGGGCTTTACGTCCTATGTAATCCGTGTGCTGCATGATTGTGTAATTTGCACTCAGCGTGATCATGCAATCTATGTGCATGCATGGCATAGCTTCATAAGCTCATATGCGCATGTGCAGGGGAATCCATAAAAAGCGGGTCACAGACTTCTCCCCCCTCCCCCCCATATCTTCCATAGGCCTAAGCATGTTCTCTTCCGTTCCTCCTTCCATAATAAACCCTGATAGTGGCTTTTGCAGTGCCTCGTGGCTTTTCTCGTACGGTATCAGTGCCGCTGAATGAATAACATTGCACCGCCGCCGCATTGAAACCAGCAACAATGGAAGTGAGCGTTAGGGTTGGTGCTGCTCCTGCATGCTTCCCCATCTTCCTCCTGTCAAGGTTGGGGTGAAGGTGTCCAGGAGCAGAAAACGAGTCTTGCCATCAGCACCAGACCTGAGGGAGCTGAACTCTTCTTGGTGCTTTGGTCCTGGCTTTGTCTCCACGGTGACCCTGAGTGATTGGCAAAGAAACCCTTTGATCTACAGAAT